ACTTCTTTATAAAACACAAGTAACGTAAATAAAAATCGTAGATATCGGTTTCGGAATAAATTTTGTATCTTCAAATACTAATTCACAAAATACATGCAACTAAATGTTTTACATGTTTTACATAAGATAGCGATGGTAATTTTCCGATGGAACTTCCTTGTTTTGCAATAATGAGAAAATTCTACGTATTTTTCCCCAAAGGATTGCGATTTAGATAACAATAATCAGACAATAGCGAAAAAAAGAATAAGCCAGAAGTAATAAGCCTAAAAATCATTGTTCAAATTCAAAGTTAATAGGAATTTGTTGGTCGAAATAAGATAAAAATTTGGAATTTAAATAATCCCCGTTTGTTTTTTGAATTGGAATTTAGGTAGAAGGTCTGGTTTCTTTTAGGTTGAAAATGAAAATAAAATTTAAAAATTAAAACTTACTTAGGACAGATCAAGGTAAATTCCCACAAAATTCCGTGTAAAACGAGTAATTTTTGTAGGAGAAGAAGTGAAAAAATAGAGTCAATGTTAATAAAAAGTGAATTTTACTGCTACATTTTTTATATTCATATGGAAAAATATTGCGTTTGGAATTATTAAACATTATTAAGGACCGTGTTGCCAGGGTTCGGACCGTTGGACGTAGTGGTCCATTAAACAAACAGTTAGTACCGGTTGACAAGATTCCCTTACCTTTATGTCCTTGCGTAATTTCTCCCAAACAGCCAGGTAGATTATATTTTATGCTCCTACTTTTAGTTTCATAATATTAAATTAAAGAGGAACGCAAAAGTAATTAAAGTGGAAATGCCTCACAAATCTAAAGTAAATTAAGGTATTTGTATGTAACGAACGACACGGGAACCGAATGGAAAGGTAATATTTTAATAAATCTCACACGAAGGCTTCACAAGACACAGACATTGCAAGATACCGGTAGGGTAGGTGAGCTTTGAGGATTTCCAGGATCTATTCGGCTTTATAGTTGTATTTTCGAAACCGCAGCGTAGAGCTCAACTATCTAATAAAGTGCGAGGACCCGCTGAGCCTATAACTACTTCTATATTCTACACGACTACCCAACCAAATACGTTGTTAGGGTTAATTTAAAATTTAATTCGAATTGTGCAAATGAAGCTCGCCCTTCCCTTTTATAAACATTTGTCGTTTTTATAACACGTATTAGGTAAGTCGGTCATTATCAGAACGATTAAGATTTTATTTGCTAGATTAATTCGTCGTTTAGTTAAATTGCCTACAGTTTACATGTTTGTAACGTCTTAAAATAGATGTCTTAGAGAGGGAAATAGTCGTTTAGCTTCCACAAGGTAAATTGTGTAGAAACTTCCAAGTAAGGTTTCCGTTCGGGTAGTGAAAATTGCCGATATAAATTATTTACTAATGGTTATTAAACATTGCGGTTACCTATCACGATTTTAAAACGAATCCCCACAACATTATATAACGTGGATGTCATTAAAATCAATGTATTTCTTTGTGTGATCAATGTTGCGGAAGCTTTGATGGTTAAAGGAACTAAGCACAAAGATATTTATAATTATAATTAATGATGATCTGATTTCGTGTTATATTTCACTTAAATTCAAATTTTCGTCAAATAATGTTCGAAAATAATGTTCGGTTATCATCTGTAGTACTTCCGCATTTTTCTAATGTTTCATTATCTATTGTTTGGATGGATAAAAGGTACAAAGACACCCATCAAATCTTTTTAGCACGTAATTAAAATGGTTATATACTTCTGGGTACTTGGGACGCAACACTTCTGAAGAGGATTTGTTTGGGAAAGTCTGGAATTTCCAACAAAAGGCAATGGTCCAATGAACACGAATTTTGTACATGGAATTCTAAAAAGGGAGCGATCCATCCAAATTTCAAACCAAATAACGCGTGACAAAAAAAGTGCAGGCCGACGGACGGATGAAAAATCAGTCTACAACATCCATTTTTCCCGTTTTACGGTTAGCAAGCGATAAAAAATCGCATCATGTAGCTTTTTAAGCACATATTGATTAAAAAGCTAGGGCATTCAGCTTTAATAACTTTGTTATTTGAAGTAGGTACTTTTCGGATAAAAATCCGGCACAATAAAGTGATTAAGCCGGAGTAAGTATTTTAAAGCGCCGCTAAATTTCATTATTGATAATAACATTTGGGAATGGTTTTCCGCAGACTGAATAGAGTAGCGTCAGTCATTACGAGCTCGCATTATGGTAATAACAATAACGCTTGATGGCAAAACCAATTTATGATGCCAGTCTATTGTGTAAATATTCGAATGTGTAGCAACGAATATGTGTTGGGATTTGTTGGGTTGCGGATCGAATCGAATTCCAAAGTACGAGGGCCATCCGTTTAATGATTTAGTGAATCTATTAAGCCTCATACTCAATGGCCAAGATTATTTTGTAGCTTTTGAGGATTTAAGGTGGGCATTCAAAAAGTCGTGTGCTTATGAAACCTGAACACAAGAAGAATAAATCGGAGTGACACGTATGTACGAAATTTGGCAAACATTAATTTCAAATTTGTCTTGCGTAGTCCCTTTCGAACAAGGAAATCCATTTCTCCCATAAATTCAGAATTGGCATCTGACAAGCTCGATTTTAAAAATCGTCTTTTATCGTTATAACCAACCTAAATCGTGGCAATCGACGTAAGACCATTCTTTTTGTTGCACTTAGCGTGGCGTATCTTTTCCTCTAGAATTCGTTGTCCCAAACGTCGTATAATTAAGGCGTTAGAAATGTTTACGCGTCTGCACGTTAACCTCATTCTGCTTGATTGCGAGGTAAGAGGTTAGGTGTACTCGAAAAAGGGTTTTATTAAAACGCCTTTCATCCACTTTAATAGCTCTTAGAATCCTTGCTCAAGATATAGAAAATTTATTTATTAATTAGAAGCACTCGCTTCTGGAACCGTTGATTATAGGAAATTATGCCGCTTCACTCCCTTCATTTACATCTAAAAGGCATTTCCATAAAACTCAACGCAGGTTGCATAAAATATCTTTTTTTTTTAGAAATGGACGACTGTTATTCACCCAAAAAAAGAAAATTAATCCCTTCATTCCGCGCGTACATTTCTTTCTGCTGTAATCATTTATGGGATATACTTAAAGAGCATTTTTGACACTGCCTTCGGTATATATTTTTCTTCATTTTCGCGCAAAATACGCAATCTGTCCACTCAATTATATCTGCATCCAGGAATTTTATGGGGGACATTGGAAAGGATCTGTCGAATAAGCTAATTAATAACTTGCTTAAGTGCGTAACCGCTCCATAAAAGTTTGATTAGATAAGCAAAAGTTTTATAGCAAATCGAGGAGGTATAAAATTATTTTCCTTCTTTTTATTGACGTTTACTACTAGCGCTGCTGTTTAAGTAGATTTTCTGTCAAACCAACGTTAGCATTCTAGTTCCATCCCCGATTTTTATTTAAAAATTGTCTCATAGATATTCAACGTTGCTTTTAGAAGACACTTTTAGTTTATTTACAAAATTATGTAGATTTTCTTTTCAGGTTTATTTGAAATATACGTTAATCAAATAATTGTGGCTGTAACTTTCAACCGTGGACTGTGGGGTGGTGATTGTACCTCAAGGCTTCTCGCGTTAAAAGGAATACAATGCAAATACGTTTATTAATTACTAATTATGCATTATGCGGGTTACTCTGTAATTGGGCGCAAGCCGGTTGAGAGCCCAGAACAAGAGAGGCATAATAAATAACAAATAATAAAATGTTTTTCCAGCAATATGGCGAGTAGAAATCATTCCGCCATCCCCTCTACTTTTTATAACGTCACACGTGCTTCGCTGTGATTGGCTGCGCCATTTTGTTGCGGAAAATTTTAATTTTTAAATTTCTGTATGTCGGCCATTTCGTTGCTGTAAATTTGAAATTATGCAGGAGAATTTGTGCGGGAGATTTGAATTTTTGAATTTTCGGATGTCGGCCATTTTGTTGCGGTAAATTTGAATTTGCTTCTTCTTTACATGTTGGTAAAAGGAAAAATGATTTTTGATTATGATTACAAGGAAGTATAGCTAAGGAGGCGTTGTAGATAGTAAATTTCCCTCGGACTGCTTCTGTTGGTAACCTTACCTATAGCCCAGATGGGGCGCCTCGAAGGTATTGTGAAAGTTGTTATTCCATACACTCCTTTTTTAAATAAATAAGTTACCCGTTGTACTAGAACACCGTAGAGCGGTAGTTATAAGCAGAGCAATAGTCTATAGTGCAAAAACACTGCAAATTTATCATTAGGATGCCTGGAGAAATTACTCCAATCCGCTGTGACAGTTTTAAAATTGAACGATTGATTCAAATAGAAGCTACTCTCTATGTTGATGCTAAATCCTATAAGAAAAATGTCAAAAACCATATGGTTCACCTCTGATCTTAGCACTTATTTTATTATCAAGTCCGTGGTCGATATAAATCTAGTAAGAGTTGTAATAAAAATTGATGTTTGTAAAACTGCTGTCTTTATAAATGTGAAGATCTTCATTACTAAAATTATTGATCAATTTTTCGCCATTAGTATCGTGAGTTGTGCAGTTTCAATATGTATTATTGGTGTTGACGTCAACATAATCAAATTAAATATTCGTTGATGGGGACTGGAACTCGCCCAGAAAATTATAATTAAACCGGAAAATATTTCTACCAGATAGCGTACCGATCCATATTGATCTACACGAAATCAAAATTTGAAATCAAACAAAATTCTTCGGCATGCAGTGCGAATTATTTCACATCTGGCATAATTGAAAAGAGGGAATTTCCTAATGTTAACTCAATTTTATGCTTACAAGAAAATTTGCTTACATTCAAATTACAATGTAAAAATTTCACACACAAAAAAACTTAAAATATAAAGCTTAAAAATTCTTCAATGTTTTGTTTCGGAGAAATCATCATCAACTCTATTTTTTTATATGGTCCGTGAAAAAAGTACACATTATTGAGTGGCATTTTTTTAATCACGAATTCTTCGATATACGGGTACTCAAAAAACAAAAGTTGGAAACTGTTACTTTGTTAAATATTAGCGTACAAATCAATCATGTTCCAAAACCGATTTGGTAACCGGAAGAGCATAGTTTTAGTTTTACAAAAATCTAATAAGTTATCTGGTGGTTAGATCATTTATGAACAAAATTTGGCATCAATGGCTTACTTAGGATCAATGTGGTGCTAGGGGCGCAATTTTGCAACGATCCAATCTAGGTAAAAGGCTACTTTTGCATAAGCGGTTGGCGTTCTACTGCCGCACTTCCCTCCAAAGACAAGAATTCCCACTTGCTCCCACTGACTCCTTTCAGACACCATCAATGGAGCACCACCATCTCCCCCGCATGTAAACGTATGCTTCTCTTTAACGCAAAGGTAACTGGGCAAGACAGCGCTGTTGGGAAGGAATCGCGCACATCTCCGCGTGGGGACGAGGGTTGCCACAACCTTCTTTTTAATTTCAGTTTTGGTCACTCCGTCGCGAAGGGTTCCCCAACCTGTGGTTGTCAGTTCCCGTCCAGTGCTAAGTTCCCGACGATCTGATGATCTCGGCAAACAGATTGGACGAATATACTCTGTCAAAAAATGAGTCTTTGTCAAATTCAAATCAAGGGAAAAGTTACCTGAATACGTAACATCATTGGACAGTCGGAGTAGTGCGACGTTATGCTCGGCTGCACCGGCATAGTACGCCGGGTGAGCTATCTGTTCTTCTACTAAAAAGTATTGCGTAGGATCACTGCATTCTTCTCCAAATGTACCTTGGACGCAGTCTCTATCACTGGTTACATTGTAATCTCCAAGTCGCACACCAATACTACCCCAATTCACCAGTTAGAGACAACATTAACATATTGCATACTTACAGAATGGAAAATGGCGTACTTAGACAGTTTGCGGAAGTGAGCACGTACCTACGGCTTACAAGAGACCCACTACAGTCTACGGCATTGCTGTGGTTGTACACTAATTGCGCGGACCATGGAAATTCATCTAGAGAAATGGATGCATCGTTTCTATGGTAATCATCTGAATGTTGATATCCGCAAAACTGTCTACTAGCCAGTAAAGTATCTTGCAGAAGAGCGCCTGTTGATGGTAAAGTAGACGCATTACGTTTTGCTAGTTATTTTACCTGGTAGTTTTCCTGCAAGCACCAAGCATAGTACGCCAAGGTACTTGGCCATCTTTTTCTCGAACTAATTGTAACAAAATGCGTAGATTACAAATATATTTAAACGCTCTCACTGAAAAAACGGTTTACTTATGAAAGATACTTACTAAAATAAGATCTTGGTGGTAATGCCAGGAAAACCACACCAATGATGACGTAATTTATACAAATATAAAAAAAACGTTCGTCAAATATTATCTTCCTAATTCAGACATTTTTTAGTGTAGTAACAGCGTAGAACAAAAGAAATTGGTTATTTAAAAACCACACAATCCGTTGAGAGTGGCGTATTGGTATAACAAGTAACCTAGTAGTCCGTTCATTCGTCTACATCTGATACGTTTTCTACTTACTCATCTGCCTTTTAATTTGATAATTCGACAGTAGGATTTAAAAAAAAATCGTTTGCCCTTGTTTTCCTTTGGTGCATAATCCCTAGTTTTAAAAGATTTTGAAAATCTTGGACATCGAATAACAGTTTTGTTAAAAAAAATATTAAATTGTTGGTTTCTGAACCTATGTAATTTAAATTATAATTAGAATGATAGAGTGGGAGTGTTGTACTTGGCGTTTTTTTTAAATGTTTTTAGTTCTGGGTCGGAAATGTTTTTCTAACATGTCGGTTTTCTTCTCAAAATCGAAATTAGTATTACGGGACCCACTTTTTTTTACCGTGGGGACGATAACTTTCCAACTAAACGTCTTAGGATTTTAAAACTTGGTATACCGGGTGTTACGTTTGTCAAAATTTGTTAGTCGCTAACTTTGATAAGTGCAATCCATGATTCACACCAGAAATGCTATTCAACATGTCCAAACTTGTGCGGAATCATGTTTAGCAGCAAATGGTGGACATTTTGAACAGCTATTATTTGTTATAAATGAAGAATATAATTCTTTATTTCTTTCTCATTTTTTTGCAACCTCGTATCTTGAAAAATGTTTGTCTGATCGCAAAAGTGTAGTAGAGTTTTCTATTCCGTTTTGTTTCAGAATTAACCTCCATTGTCGGTGGGCTTGAATTTCCTCACCCTGCCTCTTAGTCAAAGGAATCATAAAGGTATACATAGCATTAGCAATTTATTAACGCTCCTCGATATCGTTTATAATTTTGTATTGCTGTCTGTCTGTCTGCTTTGAAAATAGGTACACATGTTTTAAGGATATAAGAAAGTTCGCTATTGCTTTTCAGCTACGTAGACTATTGGGCCAAACAGTTACAGCCCAAAAACTATTTCGAAGAGCGTTCGGTATGCAGTTGTGACGAATTTTTATTTAGTATAATTTTCAATTTATTTTATAATTAAATTACTTCAAATGAAAATATACTGAATAATAAATGTCACATTCTTTGCTTCATTCTAAGTCTCATCAGATATAATTACAACAAACTCAAAAAATTATCTATTGTTCAAAGAAAGTGGCACATTGTTAAAGGAGAGTCTTCCCAACACTATATAATAACGTTAAAAATGATTTTTCTTCATACATATGTACTGCTCTGTGTAGATTTACAACCATACTCCTGTTTTGTTAACCTTTGAGCTCATCAAATTATTTCTGGCATTACACAAAACAAATTGTAACCTTTTACCTACAGGGTAATTTTATTTTCAAGAGGATAATTCTCAAAATTTGAGGTGTTACTCATTCACCTTTTTATGGGTCCTATAAAAAGTTTTTGACCTTTCCATATGCGAGCTCGGTTCAGTAACAGTTTCCAACGCATTTTTGGAAATCGAATTGACCTTGCTTATTTTATTTATATTCCGATAAGCGCATTGCCTTGGCTCTTTCTCCCCCCTTGTAATATTTCCTTTGTACTTCTTCTTTCATAGGCCCTGAATCTTATTTGAGGCCGTATAATTTCTACTAAAATCAGTTAGAATTTCCCATTATTGTCACTATTATTCGAGTGCTTATAATTATTAATAAAAAGTGATCTAATGATAATAAGGGTGATCGATGGGAAGATGGCTTAACATTTGGGAGGGTAGTAGGTAAATCAAAAAGTTTGTTGGTTTCTGATATCATTTCCCCACTCGATTCTCCATTACTAATTAATTTTTTTATGTCAAAATACGAGGGGGAAATCACTAAGGCAATATTGTCAAAAGTTGGGGATGATATAAAGGCAGTATCAGTAAATATGGAGGATTACGAGGTAGTGCGGGTAAAAATAACCTCAATTCGAATAAAAAATCTTAGTTATAGTAAGAGGCGATGCGAGGTAATACTTAGGAAACATAACTCCTCTATGAGGAAATCTTTTTGCAAATTAACAGAGGTGGTTTGCCCCTTGTCATAATATTAGATCACGGTTCAACTGAGTAGTAGGCGGCAAAGTTTGGCATTTATCACTAGGATGTTACTTTTTCTTTGCTTCGGAGGGAAAAGTGTTGTTATGGAAACACAACAATTTAATTCTTTACTTAATAACAAGGTTGTTTACTGTTTACCAAAGAAACAGCAACTAACTGTTCACTCAACGGAAAACAAACTTGCCTACTTGACAAAGACGTTTGATTCATCGAATGCTAAATATTAAAATAAATTTGGTTAACTTTAGGGAAGTTTGAAGAAAAATGGATATTTTATTTAGAGAATCTCATGGCTTGCCTTCTAAACACAGGCGCGCCATGAAAAGTATAGTAATTCTCCTCTACAAAGACTATATTCCTTGTATACTCATTGCTTCTACATACAATAATTTACTTTTTTTTCATTGGATGTAAAACTTTGGAGGTTGAAATTTAACGAGTGGTTTCGTATGGAATGGTGTCACGAATTTGTCACAATTGGCTATTTGCATTATTAAAATTGGAATTCTGTTGTGTCCCAGAGTAACTACCTATTAAACTTCCTCTCTGCATTAAAATCGGTAGTAGTTTATTCATTTTGGATTCGTTTGTGAATTTATAATTCACTCATTACATTTATCTTTAAAAAATTGCTCTTTTGTGCTTTCGTATTTGCTTGTTTAGATCTTGTATTAATGCTTATGCCCCCTTTTGATAATACCTACTTCGTGTTTTAGGATCAAAATTTTTCGTCAAATTCTTAGTAACATTTCCACTTTTTAATCCAGTAATTCAAGAATCTTAATTAGGTTAATAAAACTATTCTCTTTGCAGAGCCGTGGACTAATCTCTAATTTTACATTTACATTTACATAATCATTTTCAATGGGCTTTTGTTCTTTAATGGTTTTTAGCGCTTGAATGTCTCAAGTTGGTGTGAACTTTCAAGAATTTTATTAGAGTGATCGAGTAAAGAAATCAATGCCGCGCCGCATACCGGTCATTTAGTCTCTTACAAATCTTGAGTTTGTGTAGATTGTGTAGGATTTATTAATAAGTATCTGTGATCGGTATCACAAAAAACACTAACCAATAAAAAATTTAGAAGGTAATTCGCGATTTGTGGGCGTGAAAGATTTACTCTAATTAAAAGAGGGAGATCATTCAGAGTTAAAAAGAATTAACAGATGAAGCAAGAAATGCAAGATTTTAATTAAAAGGGAAATTTTCGGTGTAAAACGTTGGAATTAGTGTGTTTCGTATCGAATTATAAGGGCGGTTCGTGGAATGTAAAATTTGCTGTGTAAAATTTTACGTCTATTTATCGGCCGGAGAAGTTACGTTTTTAATATGCACAAAAGAATTACCTATCTCGTGATAAAAGGAAGAGGAAATTTAAAATTAGTTAAGTAGTTGCAAACGTAAATAAATAAAGACTTCTTTCGCAGCTGAAAATAAATGCACCGACTGAACGAATTCCTTATTACACGATAAACGCACTTTTATTTCGTGGCCTATTAACAAAGTCTCGTGAGATACTAATTATATAGTACATGCACGTGGCGAAATTATAACTAAAACTGTGGATATTTTCAACAATAAATTTAGTTCAATCAGTTTCATTGTGGAAATCATCAATTTGGAGCAAGGATTTTCTCCAGTTATCTCCATTTCATTATCCCGCTGTAACTAGACGCTAAGTGCTTCAACCAACTCATTCCATGAACGAAAAGAGTTGTAGTGCAAAGTTAGTTCTGTTTACTTCTGTCGCTGTGAAAATAAATATTAAATGCGTTGAGAATCTAATGTAAAAAAAATGAATTTGTAGAAAACTTAACGTAGCTTTACCTAACCTAATTCTGGCATTTTACGTTAACCTTACTTTCAAAACTTAATTTGCGAGCACTTCTTCCCTTCATTATTCAGGAAACTATCGTACAATTATACTCGATTTTATTTTGCGGATTCCTGTGTACCATCACTTGATGGAAGCGAAGAAGTAGCAGTTTTAAAATTAAAATTATCTCCCAGTCGTCTAGTGCATTATCTATTTTGTAACGCCTTCCTAATCTTAGCTACAATTTATTGTATTTCCAGTACTCCCTCGGTTACATTGCTTTGTGTGAGGTCTTCTGCTTCTAACACTGAAAATTACCCTCAAACTCATTTAATTGTTCTATTTGGCCCCAAGTTACTTCTAATTTACTGCTGCGCTCCTGATTATCCTTAATTAAATTACTTAGCACCGATTATTATAATTCTTCCAGAAGATCAAACTAAAGAGTTTAAATACAGTACAAGTACATCCATAAAAATGCGATACAGCTGAATACCGAACGATCGTTTTTGGGCTTTTCAGCTCAATAATCTACGTAAAAAAACAATTAAGAACATATGTACAAATTTTCAAAGCGATCGGGGGTCTCTAAACAAAGTGATCGTGCACACGGGCGGACAGACGGACGGACAGACAGACAAACAGAAAGCAAAAAGAATACAAAATTATAAACGATCTTGAGGATCGTTTATAATTACCTTCCACAGTTTGTTCTTCACATAACTTACGCAAATAATTTATTTGCTGTATTTTGAGATTCATTTTCAATTGAGTCATTTATGTAAAATTCGACGCCTTTCACGTTTTCTTAATGCTTTTTTGTATATAGGGTGTCCAGGAAGTAGGGACGAATGCTATATAACTTCCAACATTTACTGAAAATGTAAATTTTGTGCAAAATATTAAGTAACATCTCCCATTTATGTACAAAAAATTATATATATATTATATTTTAATAATAATAATAAAGGTATCCATAGGCTTTTCCTGGTGCACAAGATATAAAATGTAAAAGATACACAGCATAGATAAAATTAAAAAAATTAGGAAAAGCCAATCTTGAGGGGCAGTTCGAAGTATTTTTGTTCTTCTACTGAACCTCGGTTGGAAAAGTAGAGAAACTTTTTGATTGAACCTGTCTTATCAGTTGAGGAGTGATCCCACCTTTATACCTCAGGTTTTACAGTATATGAGAAGGAATTACTTAGTTGGTTCCTGTCCATATGTAGCCATCACATAACTACTGAAAAAAAAAATCTCCTATCGGGACATTGAAACCGAAACTGTTTTTTACTGTTTTTATTGTACATATGAAGTTGTTCTTTTTCGATCTAATACCTGCTCAAACAAGAAAGACATATTAGTCTTAGTAGCAGCATTAAAGTTAAATTCAATGCAGCTAACGTATTTAATCTGAATGCTGCAGACCAAGTTTAGGTATGCATCAAGCAGAAGAATCTACATTATAAGGTATATAGTAATTAGATCAAGAAGCTTGTCGCAAGTTTGTGGCTACATAGAGAACGTTATCAGTTACCGGAGGGTAAACTAAGTTAAGTTCTAAGTTTTACTAAATTTAATCAGGACAAGAAAATAAATGAGAAAAAAAGCATATTTTAAATTAATTGTTGCGCTTCTTTTACGCCGACAAACTTCTAAATGAAGACTAAAATTCATTTAAAGTCTGAAAAGCAATCTCGCATCTCGGAATAACAAATGCAAATGAATGACGCTTTGCTTGTTTCTCACAAGTTTCTATTCATAATCAAGTTAAATGCGGTCTCTCTCATCTTTATGCTTCGTTGTTTCTCGATTAATTGCCTATCTATTTCACGAATGTGGTATGTATGAATCCGCGTTCGGAAAAGTCTCGCCTTATAAAATATTACACAAATAAATAGTAATTAAATTTTCTTGTACGGCATTCCTTATAGTGTTACAGAGGTCGCTGGTGGAGGTTAATGAGAATACTTTCCCAACTAGTTTCTTGCTTGAAATTGATTAACCGCGCAGATCCCGTACGGAATTATAATGCGCCGGATGCCGGATGTAATTAAAAGAGATAACTGGGAATAAGTAACCAAAAAAAGGATGGACGAAGGGGAACGCAATCGAACATTTCCCAATTCAAGTTAAAGAAGAAATTGTAGGAAACCAACGACCCGCATCTTAACTTTATTTAGGTTAGTTTCTAATAGCAAGTGGCGGTTTAATACCGTTTGGTCTCGAAACGAAGATCCGCCACGTTAAAGGAAATTTATTTCCCGTTATTTACAAATTTCTATTTCGCGAATTCCGAATCACACTAAAAATAATGTTCCCGTGTTTGCGTTGAATTAAAACAGATTTGTTAGCTCGGTTTAATACAATAGCGAAGTTATGTTATACATAGATCTGCATTTAAACCGAATTAGCTAATTTATTTTATAGTTTGAGGATTTGCTGCTATCTCTACTCAGTCGTTCTCGCATAAATAAATCTTGTAAACATTTTCCCATTCATTTTCCGCGTGTAGTTCGTTCCGAGATATTTTATTAACAAACCACGCGCGACGTTCAACGTCGAAAATGGATCGTTATTGCTGTGTTAAAAAGCCCAACTGCTGACCTAAAAAATCGCTGTTAATTAACCTATAGGACAATGCTACTTATTCTAGATATTGTTTTTTAATAAACGGACTACCAATCCATTTATAGTGCTCAGGCACTCTACGGCAACGGAATTCGAGAGGAAGATGGTTTTCATTTTTTTTCAAAGTACACTAGTTTTGTGTATTATCCGCAGAGAGTGCTACGTGTCGTAAGTAAACTACAAAAACAAGTTGTACCACCAGCTTTTAGGTTTTTAGTTCATATCGCTAGCAATCATTTTGGGAGGTGGTTGGTGTGGACCACATTTCTGTATACGTTTTTATCGCTGTCGTTGGAATGATATATGAGTTTTCTGAATGTCCTTATCTTTTCTAGGTCCTTTAAGACGGCGTGGGAGTGTGAAATGGCACTAATTGCGTGGGGAGTGTAAGGTGAGTTTATTAGTTTTCGTATCTCTCTAATTTTTGAAAAAAAATTGAAGAAACGTTAATAATAAATTTATTTGTGAGTGTTTAGCATTTGTCTAGTAGTTAGGCGCCATTTCAATATAAACTTCAACATATAATAAGGGAAGGTGATTGAATTGTTGTCGTATTACAGATAAAAACCGACGAAAAAAACGAACCTAAAACATTATACCGCGATCCCGTCGTCTATTTTTTTAACATAATTGGAAATAGTATCTGGAGTAACAAAAAATGCAATTCTCAATTTAAATAGAAGGAATTGATGTGGAAGCAACCAATCCAAGCTGCAATTTTACAGAATAACTGTTAGAGTACAAAACACACCTTGAAGCAGACTCACGGGTGTCATTTGCAGCTGGATTTTTTGCAAATAGAGTTGAGAGTTTCCTTTGCTTTTTAATGAAATTAGAAATTTCAACAAAAACAGTATTACGAAAAAAATGAATCAAATGCCGACGGCTGGCTTTATTCTTTTTTACCAAATCTTTATCTCTTTTGTAGTTTTTTGCCTACTTTAGAGATCTTCCTTTTATAATAATTGACTACAACATTGTCCTTTTCACCTTCCAGTAAAAAAACAACATTAAAATGCCATATAAATATACTGAAAAAAAGTCAAATACTACTTAAGACTGCATCTCCCTTTTACATTGAAGTTTCATTTACTACTCCGTACAACCTGGATAATCAATTTTACTTTCAAATAATGACTCATTTTTTATCTATAAATACCTAAACTTTTTTCTTGATTTCGACTACATAGGTACAGGTAAATACGTTTACACCCAAACTAAATTTTTATTCGTTATTAACATGACAAAATGGCTTTATGTAAGGTATTGAATTTGGTTAAATTCAATATAAAAATTATGGAATCCCTTTTGATTCTCGGCGGAATAAAACTAGGGATTGACACCAAACCAACAGGTTTTTTTTATTTGCAAAATACACTGAAAAAACAAAAAATTCTGAACTAGTTCCAAACCTGCATCATTCAAAGAATTTGCTTACATAGCGCTTTAAACATGTACTTGTTGTCTGTATGCAACATCAGAAATGTTAGGTGGTATGACTTTAAAAAAAGCTGTAATCCTATCTGTGTGGAGATGACGAATCTTGTTTCTATTCCAATCATCAAAATAACACTTGAAAACTAACAGGAGCAATATTTGTCTGGGCGAATGTTTAAAGAACCTTCATACCTTTTCACCTTATAATTTTATTTTTGCGTAATTCGGCGGGGAAAATCGGCAAAAAAATTTCAATAAAAATGCTCTTGTTACATTACCTCAATACGGAAGTCCCATGTCTGATTCAGCATATCGTTTCAAAATCTAACCGAATACAACCTTTACTACCGTAACGGTAACGTAACAAAGCAGTCACGTGGCATTTTTTAGTTTTTAAATTGAATTTTATTGTTATTTAAACCGTCTCTATCAACTAAAAGTGTCAAACAATTCCTTTAACGGCGCTTCCATAATATATTTAGTAAAATATTTATTAATTTTTGTAATATTTAAAACACATGACACTAAAAATATAAAGGTACATAGAGGCAATATCACACCATAATAATAGGGAATATGCATGTAATTTTTTAAATTTGTTAATCGCTTTTTTACATCGTTCTAACATAGTAAAAAGAGTAAACACTGTTAGAACAATTCAATTTAACTTGTAAAATAATATTTAAAACGTTGACTTTATTCGATGTGTTTAAACGCCGCCACATTTTCAGCGGGCCTTGGATGACGTCACAAGCCACGACCAGTATTTGTTTATTTTTACTTGTTGATTTATTTAAACAGATTTTCAGTTGTAATAGCTATTCAGACCATGGAAAAACTAAAAAACCATTTTATGGGTATTGTCTTGTACAAAAGTGCAAAAACACTATTAGAAATATTCCCGATAAAGTGTATTTTGCAGTTCCAAGAGGACGACTCCCAGAGCGTTCTCAATTTTTTTACAAGCAGTGAACCCTAAAAGAACCTTTTTCAACAATTGTGCCGTTGATTCTTGCAAATCGACGGACTATGCAATTTTTTTTCAAAATCCGATGAATTTTCTTAGTTAACAAATGGAATAATTTCTAAAATAGGTACCAAAAGAAATGTAAATCTATAATAGGCGAATGGAAAGCTCTCGGAACGACCTACATTTAAAAAAATACGCCCAAATCCGAGTTCACGACAAATCAGCTTTTGTTTTCGACACAACAAAAAATGATTTTGCAAGTCAGGTCGCATCGAACGATTCTTAAAGGCGCGTTTTCCTCGAAGCGGCTGGCATTAGCGTCCGCGACTCAGGAAAACGCACTTTTAAAATGTGAGCTTTTTTATGCTTTTATTTTACCAATGACTTTTATTAATCAGAGCGCAAAGGGCCTATTATAGAGTTACCTTCCTTGTTATATTTCGGGAGTTCTATTCCATTTGTTAGTTAACTAAAAAAAATTCCACAGTCCATCAATTCGTTTTGTAAATTTGTTTATTTAATTATGCAATAACTATCAAATCTGCGGTGATAGGGGTTTGATATATTGTTTTGTTATCAAAAGAAGTGACCAAATACGGATTTTCAAAAAGATCGGGCGAATTTTACTTAGTAATAACTAATTGATCTTCGGGATTGCTTTTTTATATTTTTCCATAAAAAAACAATAACATTTGAAAATGAACGTTTCATACCCACTGTATCTTATAGAAAATTCAATTCTAAACCAATTCATTTCTCTTCATTTTTTCCCTTAGAGTAATAGTTAACGAGATAATTGAAGTCAAATGCGAAAAGAAACGACATCTTGCCATTTTTTCTTCGTTTTTTACATTCCGGGAGTTTTCGGCTAGGGGGACTATGATTTTCGGATTCAGCGGATCTTTTTACATAGAAGACACTTGATTTAAAATGACAACACCCAGCCCAATCTGCCCAAACTGTAATTTGACTGCACTAAGTACTTATGAATATTGTCACAACAAATGCGATCGCGTGGCATTTGACGTCACTTTCATTCGTCCAATAGTGAAGCGTTTCGTAACTTTGAATTTCGTTCGCTTATTTTGCACTTTTGAATTAACATTTTTAGCAATTAAAAACAAACTAAATAAGAAACTAATGGTTTAAGTATAATGTCAGGACAATAAATATTTGCTGGAGAAAGAAACAAGTAAATTTAAACCACATGCATATTCCCTATTATATTAAACTCACAATTCCCTTATATTTCTACGAAGGTTTTTAATACTTTCATCTCAAGTACCTCTAAGATAGGTTCATAAACACATGCTACTGTCACTACAAAAGTATGAAGACCCGTTTCAGGGCTAATCGTCCTTGCTCTGAAGTTCACGTCTCTCCTCAAAGTTTTTTTACATTGAAAAGTTCCTATGGTTCAATGGTAGAGCGTTGGGCTATAAATCCGGAGGTCGGGTGTTCGAACCTGGGTTGAGGTGAATTTTTCATCTGTGGCAGAGGTGGGTATTAATACCTTAGACCAGTTTCGAGCATTCTGTCGGCTACTCCGAATTAGGTTTTCCTTAGGTAAATACTGGAGTAGGACAAGAGAGGGATAATAAATAAATAAATAAATGTCAGCTGTCAAAGCCATCAAAACATTTTTGCAAAGGAAACTGATTTTAGTTTGTATAATTGTACAGAAATTTAGAAAGTATGCAGAAACTTAGAAAGCGGCAGATTAAAAGAATTTTTTTGCACGATTGGGGCGTTTTTTACATCTTACAAGATGTGACAGGAGGGTTGTAACTCATACTTACCGTCAGATATAATTCGTACTCAAATTCTTAAGCAAAATTTATTTTCAAAACAACTCCTTATTGGGAAAAAAACCATGCACAATTAACAATTAACAGAGTAGAAACTTTATATTTTGTTTTTAAAGAGGCAATGCCGAGAATTTTGTTATGATCAGGTATTTTGTTGTATAAGTAGGGTAACATGTATGAGAATGATCCTAATGATATCTTATCGTGTGTTCAGGGGTGGAGATCTCTGCGAAATGCAATTTTATTGTTGATACAATTTCATGATCTTCGTGATGCTTGTTAGCGCCTCCGCTCAGATAAAGTGCAATTTTAACTTCTTGTACATTAAAAATCCATTTTTTAATTAAAGTTATAATTGGATTTTTGGTTACTTCATTATGCAATTTTGGGGAAGAATTGACACTTGAATTACTCTCTTTAAAATTACTGGAAACTGGGTCGTGTGAGTTAACTTTCCTTTCTTTCAATTAACTAAGTTTTGTAACTAATGGGTATCCTCTTCAAGGGATTACACCAATGTTAATTTTCTTTGTATTGAAATTAAAAAGAAAGTGATTAATCAATACTTAGCATCCTACTGCATGATCGAATTCGAATCGAATCGATCGAATACAAGTACGAGTATTTTGGCTCCTCAAGCGATCATTACTTCAATGCCCGAGTAGAGCTCGGATTCCTTATGGTTTCGGAACAGAGCTCCTATCTTATTTATTTCTTCATCAAAAGTAAGAGGGGTACGATTATTTCATGGGATACCTATAATTTGACGTAATCGATCACGAAATAAGTAGGGATGTTAAGTTTTATTTTGTAACAAGTTGATTGGTAATTATTGTTGAATGTTTGGGAATTTCATCAATGTGTTTTTACCGTTTTATTTGAATAGGTACCGTATACTTTGGAAGTAAACTTGCGGTTCATCTTCAAAGTTGAGCTTTGAGTTCTTATATATCCAGACAAATCGCCGCCTATGTAAGGACCCATAAGACCATCCTACTTTTCTTCTTAGCCACCTTTCTAACAATACATGTTGCCTCCCGTAATTTACTGCTATAGAGGCTAGAGAGTTCTTTTGGAAATCTGTCTGTCAACTAGGTCGTTCAAAATTAAACATGACTATAACCATTGAAAAATTATAGTCTAAGGTAAATTAAGTTAATTAGGACCCATAAGACC